GTGTGTGTGTGTGTGTGTGTGTGTGTGTGTGTGTGTGTGTGTGTGTGTGTGTGTGTGTGTAAACAAGGCTGCACACCCATCCATCCCTCAGTAATGTCTCAGCTTTATTCGATTCATCAGCGGCGGTCCGAGAGCAGCATCAGACATCACATCTGTCTGCACGTCAGTTTTAATAGCCCACAGATGAAATGATATTTGCAGTTTAAAAGAGGGTAACACATACAGAGAGAGCCTGTAATTAGAAATAATGATAGACTCGGCTCGCGCCCAGACTGCCCCTTCTGCCTCTAGACTGGAGATACGGGAGGGATGAGAGAAAGAGGTTATAGAAAATTACAGAAAACAGCCACATAATGAGTTTAATTATTTCGCCATAACAGCCTCTGTCTATTAAAACGGCCTAAAATAATGGCCGCCTGATGCGATGTTTTACTCCTACTTGCGTGGGTGCTGGAAGATGTTCCGAGCTGAGGTGCAACTGATGAACACTATTTAATTATTAGGTGTATTTAACTATACTTTTTAGACTTGCAATAATAGGCTAGTTTTCTATGTTTTTACTCTTTTGGTGACTCTGTGATTGATGTGCATCTTAGCCCTTGCAACTCCTAAAAATGAAACATTATTTATTTTTCATCAGTTTGCAACATTAAATCTAAGAAAACATGCATTTATGCATGCATCTTTGCTTACAGCGGCTGCATGTTGCTCTTAAATAATTAACAAGGTTGAGTTTTTTTTAGCATAGAGTTAGCAAATAGGCTACACAAATTGTGGTTAACTAGCATCAATGTTAATGTCGAAGGACTTTCTAATGATTTACTGAATTCGTGTTTGAATAAATAATTTACTTTCAGTCTATCATTTGGGTAACAAGGTTTACCACTACTCAGAACTAAGGAGGAATGCAACAAAATCCACCTATCAAAAAATGAAGGAAGAGAAGTTAACAAGCTGCTAGCTAATCAGTAGGCCTATTTCCCCCATGTATATTTATTTTTATGTGTTTTTTTTTTACATGATTCATTTATTTCCACATTAAGTTTTCTCAAGATTAATTTTCCATGTGATTTATACGATTCATTTATTTCCGCATTCCTTGTTCACATTCATTTATTTCTTTTAAATGTGATTTCGTTTTTTTTTAAAATGTGATTACATATTGTCTGTATGATGTCGTGTTTACATGAAGTCACGTGTCTGGTGAAATAGTGTTTGTCGCGTGTGATCACATATTATTAACATCATCACATTATTGCAAAGTAAAAAACATGAAGTGTATGGAATTTTTTTTCCATAAGGGCCCCCATTTCAGTTTTAGCCATTACTCCGAAGCCTCTCTTTCTGCCATATCACATTCTGCATGTTTTTTTTCTCTCTCTCACACTTCTCTCTGTGGGCTTATCGCACTTTCTCCAGATATTTTGGATGAGGTGTGAATTAGTGAGAGAAGAGAGATGCAAACAGGGTGAGCTGCTACATAAAGACCACTGCTGTTAAAAAAAAAAACCTACTATAATGAGAGTTGCAACCATTTGTAATGAATCCCCTAAAGAATTTGCATGGCACATGAAGGCAATGTATGTGCTGGGACTCATGGCAGTCCTTTGTGGTACTATTAGGAGGGGTGGATTCTCCTGAGGAATGGAGCAAGATTAAGTACAACCCCTATAATTCACTGTAGGTAATTGGGATAGGTCAGTGGTTACAGGCTGATGTACGTTTACCAAGCATGACTGTTCTCTGGGATGAATAGAGGATTTGGGGCTTCATTGATCCAATCAATGAAGAAGCTGGAACTTCAGGATTTATGGCAGTTTATGGAGTTTCACGCAACCCGGGTAAGGAGAATAGGTGATGCTGTCAAAAGTCGATATGAGATTCTCTTGGGACCAAGTCTTCACACTTAAAACTGTCAGTGTTGAAAGATGGTGCTGTGCAAAGTTGGTTGCATACTGTATGTCACCAGTTATAGTTACATTTCAGAGTACAGAGTATTCTGGCCAGTGTCAGTGTCAAAGTAAATTGACTGACTTTCTGAATGTTTTTTCTTCTAAGAATGATAGATTATGGGTATTATTGTGTCTCAAACACAGCTAAATCCAGCTCAATCCCACATTTCCAAAAAAAAAAAAAAGTGCTGATTTTACACTTTTGTCAGCCTTTTAATGCAAGACTCCTTGTGTGTATTTAGCTTTAAGATAAGATGAGATATGAGAAGATATCTTTATTGTCACTGTACAAGTACAATGAGGTATTGTCTGGAGCAAGCCGTAGATGCCATTGAGTTAGCGGTAAGACAAAAGATATAAAAATAAAGGATGCACAAAAGACCTATTCAAATGTTATTGAAAATAAAGTAGGAGGTACAATGAGGTAGAAATAACAAGGTAACAGAGTAATGACAAAGTGCATGTGCAGAAGAGGGTTGTAGCGGTATTCGCAGAACTTGTGGAGAGATATCAAATAAATAAATAAATAATGACAGTGAGGGGGGCACAGTGGTTTAGTGGTTAGCACGTGTGCTTCGCACCTCTGATATTGGGGGTTCGAATCCTGTTTCTGCCCTGTAGGTGTGGAATTTGCGTGTTCTGTGTGTGCGATTGTGCCCTGTGGTGGGTTGGCACTCCCTTCAGGGTGTCCCCCGCCTTGTGCTCCTAGTCCCCTGGGTAGGCTCCAGGTTCCCCCACGACCCTGCATAGGATAAGCGGCATGAAGGATGGATGGATGGATGTACGTATGTGTAAATGTAGTGTAGTAGATGGTATTGCACAGAATAGCTATTCACATTTATTGAACTTAGAAAGGTTGAATTGTACGTGAAAGATAAAGGTAGATTACACATGTCCAGAATGATGTAATGGCTGATGTCTTAGATAGTGGTGTATTGCAGAGTAGTGTGAGGTGCTGTTATAGTAGGGGGGAGTAATCGCTGAGTGTTGAGTAGTATAACAGCTCTGGAAGAAAGAAAGAAGCTGTTTTTCAGACTAGTTGTACAGGCATACAGGGTCCTGTATAGTTTACCTGATGGCAGACGGGTGAGTATGCTGTAGCCAGGGTGGGTCGGGTCTTGGGGGATGTTATCAGCTTGACGGGTGCAGGGAGTTCTGTACATATCTTCCAGTGTTAGAAGCTCTGATGCAGTGATTCTTTGTGCTGTTTTGATGATGTGCTGGAGTGCCTTCCTGTCTTCTGAGGTGCAGCATGTTTACCACACTGTTATGCACTATGTGATTGAGGACTCAATGGTGCACTGGTAGAAGTTCAGAAGGAGCCGTTGGGGGAGTTATGCTTTACAGAGCTTTCTCAGGTTATGGAGTCTGTGTTGAGCTTTTTTTTTTTTTGTTCGCCATCGCTGTTGTATTGATGGATGATAGGCCTGTATAGACGTGGACCCCAAGGAATATAAAACTGCTGATATCAAATATCAGATATGTTTTTGTCTCCATCAAGTCAAGAATTTCTCAATTAACTATTCTAACTATTCTGGGTTTTTTTCGGGGAATCATTTCAGCATACCTTATTTCTGCACTCTCAAGGTTGATAAAAAAAAAAGTAAGAGTTAAAACACAACAGGGCATGCTGTTATTGGAAAAAAATAAAAACAAATCCAGTGGGGTCATGGATGGAGGGGTGTTATCATCCCAAAGTTGATTATTTTTCAGCATTTTTTTTTTATTTATTAAAGAACATCATACTTACTTTGAATGTTTTATCTTTTAAAGTGACTGTTAATGTTGTGGGACATACACAAAACTAGTCCCTGTTATCACTTCCTTTATAGAAGCTAGTCTTTTCTTCAAAAGCCTCTTTTTTCCTCTCTCTTGAAGTTAATAAGACAAAAAAGCATCTTGTGATGTTACAGAGAAACGAGACAAGCACCAAGTCCTCTGTTTTGAAGACTTGCAAGAGCATTACAAAGCACTGACACTGGAGACTCCTTCCATAAATGTTAAATAAATGTCTCCTTACAGAAAGCTTCAGCATATCAACTCCTTTGTTTTGCTTTGCTAAATAGAATTTTTGATGGGAAGAATTTATTATTAGGCTTAGATTATGCACAGCGTCGCCATACAACTCACTGTGAATTAGTTGTTACTAAACTTCTGATTTGCCTTGGGGCTGGATCTATTGTCGGAGCCTCTGTTATGGAAGATTAATCAACACTTTCTGAACAATCACATTCAATTCAGATTCAAGTCAGATTCTGACCAGGCTGTGGTAAAAAACAAATTATTACACAGGTCAGTTCCTATTTAGTATATAGGCGTATCAAGTCTGGTCATCCACCTATCGAAGATATGTTGCCTTTAAAATCTTATTGCAGATTGAAGATAAAAGTTCCAGACTTGCTCTCACACGATGTCATGGTGTGTGTAATAAAGATAGCGCATATATGCTATATTTCCCAATGTTATGTATAAAAATCAACACAAATCATTCAGAGAAAATAATGATATTGCATTAAATTAATATTTGTTCGTTTTTTTCTTTTTTTTTTTTTTATCATTGTAGTTCATGATGACCGCATACCTTTTTTGACATGAAGAATGTAGCTGTCTTTCTGCTCTTTGTTCTCCGGCTGTCATTAATTGAGGTGGGGTCTGGGGAGTGTGTCTGCGGAGATGGCTGTGGTAAATGAGCTATCAAATCCACAGTATACGCGAGACCCACTCGAGCCCTCTAATTGGAGAAAAACATTTGGAGATGGAACCAATTAAGCGTGCTCTTTTGAGCATCTGCCTTCCTGTCTATACTCAGCAGTTCTCATCCTCACAGGAAACCAGAGCGCGAGAGGGATTTTGATAAGAGGGTAAGGCAGTTTACTCTGAAGTTACCAACCTTCACAAGCATGCGCTAAATTTTCAGGGACTTGATTTTTTTTTTTTTTTTTTTTTTTAACAATTATTTCAGCTGGATTGAAAATCCAAAAATGATTCTAATCATTGGTACTTTTGTTTGATCTGTAATATCTAAACTGGTAATCAATATCCAGAGCAAAGCTTTATGCCTACATGGACTACAATGATAAAAAGAAGAAGAAGAAGAACAACAAGAAGAAGAAGAAGAAGAAGAAAAAAGAACAAATATTAATTTAAGACTCCATTTTTCATGGCTGCTGACCAGGTTGATAGTTTGCATTTTAAAATATATATATAATAAAGTTTATTATTACTATTATTATTATTATTATTATTATTATTATTATAGATGCTGAAGTCTGGCCGAAGACTATTTTCCAATAACACACATCCTGAAGTGTTTTATTCTTCTTACACCACAGCAGTTTGCCAACTATTACCATTTTCAATTTATTAGACAGATAAATTTATTAGAAAGAATGACGTCACGCATATTAACCATTTCATGTTGTGGAAGGTCCGCAAGATGAGCTCCTGTATGAGTTATCATTTATATTGTAGCATCTATAAACAGTCTATAAACAGTCACTCCCTCACCAGCATGCAGCTTGTCATGTTACCAAGAAAGCGCAAGGTACAAAGTCCTCTGTCCTGAAGACTTTCCTGTAGGGGAAAACCTACTGACTGTTGCAAAGTGCTGACACCTGAGCTGCTGACACATAAATGTTACAGTACATAAACATCTCCTTGCAGAAAGCTTTGTCATATCAATGATAATATGTTTTTCTTTGTTAAAAAAAAAACACATTTTATCTGTTTATTATTACTCTTATATTATGTAGATTGTCTGCCATACAAATCCCTGTGAGTGAGATGCTACAAGAAAACCTTAACATACTAGAACGACCGCATTAATATAAATTACAGCTGGCATTATTGTCACACCCGTGCTTGTAAAGAAAATTAATCAACACCTTCTGACCAACTATTCAAGATTCAAGTATTCAGCAGCATTGTGGTAACAGTTTATGACAGAGTGTATTCAAATTCAAATATTTTTAAAATTGTGTGGTCGGAGATAGTTTAAAAAGAAAAACACTGTTCGTGTGTTTTTTTTTTTGTTTTGTTTTTTTTTTTTAAAAACAGAGTGGTAAAAAATATGTTTTCAAAAATGTCTATATATGTGTGGACGAGGCATTAGTTGGAGTCAGAAATGGATCAGCCTTGGCCTTATGGTCCGTGTATTGAATTTGAACGCCATGTGCAGTTCAGACTGAGTGGAGGTGGTCCATTAGTGAAGCTTTGAAGCCTTTTGATGGCTTTTCTTCCTTTGCCCTCTTGCCCACACATGCTGAGGATGAAGGACTTTGAAATTGAGTACACACACACACACACACACACACACACACAAACACTATGGGTTACAGATGAATTTTCAAGACCTACAGAAATCTATAGATTCATGTCCTGCATATTAAAATATAGGATATGTTACAAGTATCAACTGTATACACTTAACATGGGCATTCGCTAACACAGCAAAAAAAAAAAAAAAAATCCATTTCATATTCACACATATTTATTTGCCTCCATTTACTCCTTTTCCGTGCTGCTTCGACACATTTGCTCTCCAGCACCTTCATGGTCTCTGTGATCTCCTCAGATCTCTGCCAAACCTGCCTGATCCGCCAGCATTCATAGTCCATCTTCTTCTTTCTTCATCCCTCGTTCTGAAGCGTTCATACTCCCTTACGGGGCCTGTTGTCATGCTGTCACACCCAGTGATAGATGAGTGGCACTCTGAAAAGGGCCATCCTGCCCTATTCCCCCTGCATCTTCCTCTTCACTGCCTCAGCTCGTCAATTCATATTAGCGTGCGGCCAAGGCTGTAACTAAACGGAGCTCGCTCCCTTGACGCACCCACTCTGCTCGTCACATTAGGATTCAGAACCTGGGGTTTCGGGCTGAGCACACAATGGCTGTCAAAGATGCTTTGTTCGGTGGTTATATAGCCACAAATATTATTAAGAGAGGATATGCATAGGTGTTCATCAGTCCATTGTATTGGCGAATATTTTGGTTTGACTAATTGTTTGGTGTGAGTGAGGCTGGCATGAACAGGAAGGTCTAAGAGTCGATAATAAAAGAAAGATATATTTCAATTTCATACAGAGATTTCTCAAATAGATAAAAAAAATCAAGTGTATTCTTGAATATTTCATTAATGAAAACATTTGCAGTAGCATTTGGTAAGTTTGGAGCCAGACTTTATGTAGATTTCATTTCTTTTTCTTCCTTGGGTGAAAATTCCTAAACATAAATTGAAAGACTTGCATGTGCGAGCTGCGATATCTTCCAACGAGTGAGTTACTGACATAGTACTTACATATTAGAGTGCCTTAACTTTTGCACATGCCACAGTTACTTTTTTTTACATTCATCAAATATAAAGTATGTGCACATTTAAATTAGTATCGAAATGTTTTTTTTTTTAATAGTTTGCTGCAGTGTTTGTGTTTAATTCTTTTCACTTCGAAAATCAACAAAATATAAAATTAGGCTAGAGGTGCGCAAACCTTTGCATACATCTGTATAAAAACATTACTAGTTAATATCCTTTGAATTATGATGTGACATTTGTGTAGACTGATACCCAGCACTTCGTGAAAATCAGAAGCTAATCATTGTGCCATTGTTTATACATTT